AGACAATCCAGTCAGCCATCCTGAACAACTTGTCTCCAGCAATCCAGATCCAGCTCAATCTCTGCCTCCTCCTGATGACACTGATCCTTCTAACCTCTGTCACTCCAGACTGTTAAAAACTATACATATTGGGCCTATATTCTTTTTCCTCCTCTTATTCGAGCCATGACATGGATGGGTACTCCTGTCGAGGTCTATGTTAATGATAGTATTTGGATGCCTGGTTCTGTAGATGATCATTGTCCTTCCCAACCTTCAGAAGAAGGAACCCCTTTCAATATCACTGTAGGTTTTAGGTATCCACCTTTGTGCCTGGGACCCACTAATGGATGTCTCTCATCAGATATTCAAACTTGGGTGGTCACACTACCATCTGTTCACTCTGTCCCTCCTTTAGGACACTTGGTATCAGGGCTCTCATTAAAACCTCTAAGGCAGATCAAAACAGGAATCACTGATTATATTCACACATCCCAGTATAAGCCTTTAGGACCTGCGTGTCCTCTCAACTTGTCTTCAAATGCTGACAAATTAATATGGAAGGATTGTGTTAGTCCAGAAGGAACTGTGTTATTTAATTCTTCTCACTACACCATTGCTGACTGGGCTCCCAAAGGTCATATTACTAATGATTGTTCTCAAGGTCATAGAGATTGTCAACATTTTCTCTATGATATTACTTATCAAAAAAGCAGTGACAACCCTCCCCTATTATATCATAGATTTAACTCCTTTTCTCCTTGTAAGTGGAAAGGGGCAGGGGTTGCTCCTCCAAAGCCAAGGCTCGTTGTTCCCCATTTAGGACCTGAACATTCAGAATTATGGAGATTAACTCTAGCTATGACTGATACAAGAGGTTGGGGTGGACAAAGCGTTATAAGTAAATTTACCTTGTCATCTCAAAAACCAAGACAACAGATTGATTTACACTACTATTTCCACACAGCCAAAAATATCACTATGGCAATCATCAAAAGGTCAATTCAAAGATGGGACAGTAAAGATTATGAGGATTTATACCCCCCCATTACTAATGTCCCCCCAGCACCTCTCATACAACCTATTCCCCCCACCCCACATTCACAAAAAAGAGTACCATCCCGAAGTATGTAAACTTTCTATATGGAGTCCAACAAAACTATACCACTTAAAAGTTGTGTTAAACCACCATATATGTTATTAGTAGGAAAGATGCATATTAATTCAAAAACCAACATAATTACCTGTGTTAATCGTTACTTGTATACTCGTATTGACTGATCGATTAATCAATATCATAGTATTTTAATAGTCAGAGCCAGAGAAGGTATTTTGCTCCCCACAGCCTTACATAGGCTTTGGGAATCTTCCCCTTCTATCCATGTTATTAATAACATTCTACAGAAAATTCTTAAAAGGAGTAAATGATTTGTTTTTATATTAATTGCAGTAATAATGGGCTTGATTGCTGTTACGGGGACTGCTGTTACTGCTGGAGTTGGTGTTGCATTACATCAGTCTATTCAAACTGCTCATTTTGTGGATAAATGGCAAAAAAAAAAAAAAAAAAAAATTCTACCCAGATGTGGAATTCTCAGGTATTGATCAAAAATTGACCAACCAAATTAATGATCTAAGACAAACTGCTATATGGATGGGAAATAGAATTATGAGTTTAGAACATAGATGGCAAATGCAATGTGATTGGAATACTTCTGATGTTTATATAACTCCATTTCAATATAATGAGTCTGCTCACAATTGGGAATCAGTAAAATGCCATTTACAAGGAAGTGAAGATAATTTAAGTTTAGACATAAGCAAGCCAAAAGAAGAGATTTTTGAGGCCTCTCAAGCACACTAAACTGCTTTACCCGGTGCTGAAGTTTTAGACGGTATATCTGAGGGGTTATCTAATCTCAACCCCATTCAATGGGTTAAATCTTTGGGAGGATCCACTATCATTATTTTTATTCTGTGTATCATTTGTGCTATTGGCTTATTGTTCATGTGTAAAATTGGAAAAAATATTCTTCAATCCAATCGTGGTCAGCGCCACACCATAGCAATGGTTTATTTAACCATTGCTATGCTTCATTTAAATCATACAAAAGGGGGAGATGTAGGGAGACCCCCTGAAACTATTGCTACAGAATAAAAGATGAAATGTTCCTGATTATTGTAAATACAAAATTGCATGCAGGATTGTGTAAAGACAACGCCAGGTTGGACTGCAAGAATGAGCCAACAGCGTGTGATATGCTCCCCGTTTCAGAGAGCCTACGAATGAACATGCAGTCAGGGAGGTTTCACATCACCAAGATTCCTATCCCAGAAAAGCAGATGTTCATAGCTCTGGGAATGGAATGCAACCCTTGTGGAGTACCTATAAATGGACACATGAGGGGTGCCTGTTCATATGGATAAGATAGGGCTATAAATGCCCTCATCTTGCCACAGCTCTTCTAGGCCTCTTTAGGGTGAATGCATACTCCCTTCTGAGAATTTCTGGTCTAACCGGTTGTCTAGCTTCACATCCTGTTTCTATGGATTCTTTGTAACCAGCTTTTGCTGCAACTGTTACTGCTGATTAATATCTTGCTAATCATATGTTATGGAAAGACTGTGTTTCTGTTTTAAGGCTCTGTTAGAAATTACTGATGCACACACTATATTGTAAATTCTTATCTCTGTATACTGTACTTCTGCATACAGATGTTATGTTAAAGAATTACTTCATCCCCATGTGACCACCTCACTTCATAATCAAATGACCCTAAATCCCTCACAAACATACCCCCGCCCTCACTAAACTTAATAATAAATGCTGGTATATCCAGTGCATTGGCTGCATTGTGGGACCAGAAGGCGGTGACCCCCCGGACCCAGCTTTCACTATCTTGGGTGTGTCTATTATTTCTCGACCTGCCGATCCACCTGGGAACAAAGAAAGAGCCCCGTTGCATTGCAGGCTGCTGGCCAGTTCCCGCAATACTCTGCCCAGTGGAAATCAGAGTCTTGATTTTAAGAAAGAGATCTAAACCCTTCAAAGGACTCCCCTTGAGTTAGAATAAAACCCAAATTCTCTCACAGTCCCAAAGCCTCCTTGATCTCTACCTACATTTCTGATCTCATTTGAACCACTCACCCCTGATGACCACATGGGCTCAAGTCCCCTGTTGCCTCCAGGAGCAGGTCAAGCCGCAGGTCTTAGAACTGGAACTCCCTCTGCCTGGTATTACCTTTCCAAGGGTCTTCTCTAGCCTGGCTCCTTCAGGTCTAAATTCACCTACTTCAGAGAGCATGTTCCCAATTTCTTGGCCACCACCCCATTTATTTTCATAACGAACTATCCCTTTTGTCATAGCATAGCGTCAGCTGCAATCTTGTTTATTATTTTATTATATGTCTCCTCATACCTGATTGGAAAAAACCACTCCCAACAGTTAAGCAATACCTAGCATGTAGATAGTGTCCAGTAACTATTTGTTGAGCAGATGGATAGTGGGTGGGTGGGTGGATGGATGGATGGATGGATGGATGGACGGATGGGAGGATGGATGGATGGATGGATGGATGGATGGATGGATGGATGGATGGAGATGGATGGTTGGATGGTTGGATGGTTGGATGGTTGGGAAGCTGGATAGACAAATGAGAACCACCTACCTACCTATAGAGTTCAGACCAAAAAAAGAAACTCCATAGTTATCTTTTCTGGAATTATCCAAGTAAGTGCCTGTAGTCTGTATTTCATTCCACAGTAACCATAGACTCACTTATGATTTTCATATGTTGTGGTTTTCTAACGACCAAAGGACACAGATTGCCATTCATATCATTTGGTCATTTCCCCTTTAGGATTCTATCCCTACCACTGGCTAGGTCCAGTTATGGGTACCAAGGCATTTGTACATGGACAGCATAATCAATACAATTTTTTAAGTTTTATTGCTGATTCACAATTAAAGACACATCTTTTAGATAATCAACATTGAAATTCCAAATGTGGGTCTCAAAAGTTGAATATTCATAGTGTCACTGAAAGTCTGGAACATAAAATTTCTAGAAATCACCAAAAAAAGAAAATATACTATTTCTCTGATAGAACAAATAGAAATGTGGAGCAAGTTGACATCAAATGCATAGTATTTAAAAATTTAAAGTTTTATAGCTTAGAGCAAGCATCTTTAGGAGATACTTGATTTAACAACATTTTTAAATGTGTTAATATACATATATATGACTTGGTGAACTTCTAAGATTATAGATTAACAGACAAAATTTTGAAGTTCAGTTTATTTTGATAATTATATATTTGCTAATTTAACTTCTTTCAAAGTCATTGCTTCAAAATCTGGAGAGCCCAACAGACTAAATATTCCGTATATTTAAAATGAACCTCCTGGCACTGGACCACATTAACTTCCTTTACATTAAGATCTCTCCACCATAGGAACAATCATGTTGACCTCAACTGCCTAGGTTCCCAAATTAGCTGTGTAACTCTGGGTGGATTACTGAAACTCTCTAGGCCTTACATTTCTCACCTGTAAGATGGGGGCAAAAAAAGATATATTTATTTGGCAGAACCGTAGTAAGGATTTTCATATCACAAATGACAAGTAAAGCACTTAGAAATTGGGCTCAATATATATTAGCCTTTAATGACGGTTTGCTATTTATTGTTTGGTTTGTTTCATTTGGGGTCCCACAGCTTCTTTGCATGGTAACTACCATAAATGAATAAAAATTAACAATCATTATCATTAATGTTAAACCATTAATTAATATTCATGAGGCTTCATTTTAAGCCTCATTAATATAATAAAATATATTTAAATCCCATTTAAAATGCAAATAGAACAAAAATATGCAAAATAACATTAGGATAAAAGTAGCTATAACTTTATGAAATACAAACAGATAGTGATTTTAGCAAACGTGCAAGATAAACATGCAGTCAGTATGTCCACAAGGACATTTTATAAGAGAACTGTTTGAAGTATCAGGGTAACTAAACCAAACAAGTAAAACCAAATAAAAATGCTGAGTTTGCAATTATCAATAAATGAAAAAAAATAGAATACTAAACAACAAGAAAAGACTTCTATGGCATTTTAAACCTTTGACTTTAATTCCACCAGAACATTGGGTACACTATAAACTAGGGATAAGCTAATAGGTCTTATCTTTTAGCCAATTCTTCTCAGTTAAAAGTGACTCTCTGGAAAACTATGTTAAGGAGAATTCTGAGCACACATATGGTTTCGTTGGGAAACAGTTCCCTGCTCATTTCCTGATGTACACTACAGGTACAAGAGGGAATGTGATGCTGCATTTGACTCCTAATACTGCCCCTTGTAATTTCAAACTTGTACTTTCAAAGTGGATTGCCACTGCCAAGAAATAAGTGGCCATGGGACAAAACAGCTTGGAAGCAAGGGTCAGGCTGTGCTGCTGGGCTGATTGGCTGGAGTTCATCACCAGGGCTTTCATTAGTTACTATCTTGATCTCCTCTTTCAGTTGTTAAGCACTTAGACGCAACCCAATCCCTAATCTGCCTTAAGCAGGTCCTATATCAAGGGAAGAAAGGGACACAATTAATGCAAGAACCTCTCCGCAGGCCCTCCTCTGTATGTCAGGGCTTCAGAACTCATGAACCATCCTGGAGGAAGAGACTAAAGGAAGCAAAGTCTTCAAGACTCCACAAACAGAAAACAAAGATCAAAGTCCTGAAAAACTGCTTCCTCTTGGAATCTTGTGAGTACTGGCTAAAAATCCTCCCACTGAATTCCCAGGTTAGATTCCTTCAAGGTGAACAGATAGCAAACTTAAAGAAAAAAGGGAAAGAATTGGCCACTTTCTCCAGCACAGAAGAGAAAAAAATTTTTTTCAAAGATATGAAGGAGGAAAAAAATGTATTTTCCTGCCCTTAGTCCCAAATTTCCCAAGGCCTCTGTCCTTTGGTTCTATGGTGGCCTTATTAGATTAAAGGGAAACTCTTTCCTAGAGAATTAACTTAAATTCACTCTGAGCAAGCTACTACCAGGTCCTTCCCCTCCCTGCAGGTGGGAGACATCTTGACCCACCTCCAAGGTGTATACTCCCGATTTCAATCTGTCTGTACTAAAACAGGGCCAGGATCTTCTCAATGGCGCCCACACAGACCAAGGACATGCACAGTCCTGGGTTCTGTGGCCAAGGGTGTCAACTACAGAGCCATCTTTCACTGTCTGTTCACAGGAAATTGTTTTGAAAAGAACGGAGGAGCAAACTGGCAGCAGGTTCAGGGGTCCTGGTAAGCAGGCTACAGCTCCAGGGCAGGGATGTGGAGCAAGGCCTGAGCAGAGGCTTCCGTGCCTTTCCTTTGGCTGCACAAAGGATATTCTCCTCTTAACTTATCATCCTCACAAAGGACTCAGGCTACACAACTACAGACACTCAGATCTCACAGTCTGTATTCATACACAGGCCTCAAAAAGCCCTATACCCAGGCGGCAGGGGAGCAATGCACAAGAGGTGAGTTCCAGTCACCCTGGAGCTGCAGCCCAGATAGTCATGACATTCCAAGAACATAGGAGAGGAAGAAGGAGGATCTTCTGCAAGTACCTGGACCTCAGATTAACCAGACCCAGAGGTTCCATGAAAGCTTTGCCCTTCACCCCAGTAACAGGTGGATGTTTTACTGAAGGCTCCCCATGTGCTAGAAACCCTTAGACATGAACTCGAGCAGTGGAGACAGCACCTGTGTGCCTGGCATCAGCCAGGTAGTGGACTCTACTCTGACCTCTTCTCTGACCCCTCTGCACCATCGAGGCTCCACCTGAATAAGAACCTCAGAACTTAGCCGCCTTCTCAGGTGGACACTGGTAATGAGCATGGAGGGGTCAGGCCCCCAGTGATCTCCTTGAGACCACTCTACAAGGGCCTCTGCAGCAGTATTGGCTTCTGGACCCTTCACCTTGTTTTAGAGCCCAGCAAAAGTGCATGAGGACACATAAAATGTGTAGCTTGGGATAGAAGATACATCCCTAGCCTGACAGGGTACAATCCCATCCACCAGGGCAGGCGACTGGACCATGTATCTGTAGGGGACACTCACATGCTGGTTTTCTGGGCAAGTCCCATCTCACACTTCCCCAGCAGGCTTGGCTGTGGTAGAGGCTGGGTGCAGAGGGCCTGGATCTCCCTCGGGAGCCCAGCATGAAACCCTCTCCTTCCCCAAGCATGGGAGAGCTGGCCATGAGCCAATTCATTTTGCACAGGCTGGGGCTGAGTCTGTACGTAACAGTAATGACCGTGTGCCATTGGTTAGCGCTAAGAAGGAAGCAAGCTCTAACTCAAGAGGAAAAGTATGTCTTCCTATCTCAGGTGGATAAGCAAGTTCAAAGTCACTCAACAACAACAGAAATACAGCACCCACTCTGTATCACTTATCACCAGGCATGGAGGCATGAAGATGACTAGATGTGGTTCCTGCCATCAGAAAGCTGAACCTCATTTATGTGTACGTTTTTAGAGCAAAGTCTGCTTAAGTATCACTGTTTTCCTATGACATTGAAATTGTTTTCACTAAACTTAATCTGTTTAGCTTCGCTTTTTAAATGAAGAAAATATTTGCTTTTTAGGTAAATGTTTTTATTTCCAGTCTAGGTGTAAGAACTTTAAAAAGTTTAAAACATGTATCCAGGGAGATTCTTTCTGCCAGTTTACAGAATAAGTACCTTTTTTACTTAAGCCAAAAATAATAGATTAAAAAACTTCCAGTACTGGTAACAAAACACATCAGGTTTCTTGAAAACCCTCCCAATATAAACACAAGGATTTCTAGATAAATACAACCTCTCCTTTTCTTTTTAAATGTGGAGCTGAGCATGGAGGGAGTAAAGGACATTCCATGGTGCCCTGAAAGAAGGGACTACAGCCCAAGGCCCAGCACAGTAACCGCCCGGTGGGTTCATCTTGCCCACTGCCTAGAGAGAGCTGATTTATCAAGACATGGGAATTGCAATGGAGAAAGAGTAATTCATGCAGAGCTGGCTGTGTGGGAGACTGGAGATTTTTTATGCTCAAATCAGTCTCCCCAGCATTCAGGGATCAGAGTTTTTAAAGATAAATTGGTAGGGTAGGGGCTTGGGAAGTGGAGAGTGCTGATTGGTCAGACTGGAGATGGAATCATAGGGGGTCAAAGTCAGTTTCTCTTGCTGTCTTTTGTTCCTGGGTGGAATGACAGAACCAGCTGAGCTAGATTACCAGGGTCTGGGTGGTGTCAGCTGATCCATCGAGTGCAGGGAATGCAAAATATCTCGAGCACTGATCTTAGGTTTTACAATAGTGATGTTATCCCCTGGAACAATTTGGGAAGGTTCAGACTCTTGGAGCCAGAGGCTGCATGACTGCTAAACTAATTTCTAATCTTGTAGCTAATTTGTTGGTCCTGTAAAAGCAGACTGGTCCCCAGGCAAGAAGGCGATCTTTGCAGGAGAGGGCTGTTAGCAATTTTTTTCAGTCAAACCACTAAATTCCTTCCGAAAGTTAGTTCGGCCTATGCCCAGGAATAAACAAGGACAGCTTAAAGGTTAGAAGCAAGATGGAGTCAGTTAGTTCTCATGTCTTTCGCTGTCACTAATTTCTTCAGTTTTTAACTTTGCAAAGGCAGTTTCAGCATGGCAGTCAGGGTTGCAGGGAATGGTGAGTGCCCATTGCTGCATTTTCATACCTGGAAGGTCAGGAGAGGAGAGTCTGAGGAAGGGAGGTAGAATTGCACAGCCCTAATCCTAGCTTGGATTTTTCAAAGGGCTCTGGAGGGGACTGTTCATCATCAGGGAGACAGTGGAGAAGCTCGACAGGGCCATCCTGGGCTGTGGGTGAATGGGAAGCTTCCCTTGGGATTTGCAAGTGTGGGCCTGTGCAACAGAGCAAAGTATGCAACTCACTTGCCCACTGCCAAGACAATAAATGAACATAAAAATAAATCACAAGTTAGTAATATTCTGGACCACCTGGCAGGGGCAGGTTCAGAACTTCTCTGGAGAGAGAAGCCCTCAATCAGGCTGCAGAGGTTTGTGATGAACATCCTCCCAGAAAGTACACTCATCATCCAAAATGGAAACCCCACTCAGAAGGAATGAGCAGAAAGCCTTAGCAGCATATTAAAACCTCCTGCAACTTCAGGTAACAGAGTATGAATACATAGCCATTAATATTTCAAACTATAGATCAGACATAACAAAAAAGGGAATCATTAGTACGGAAGAGGAAATATCCTCTGCAACCCTATAGCTGCAGAACGTCTTTCTCGAAAGCTGGATAAAATATGGTCTAAAGTATATCTCCTTAACTGTGTTGCTGAACTGGCAAAACTGTAAGGGAAATCCAGAAAAATGAAAGAGAAATGAAAGCTCCTCTGAGGTACGGGAGGGCTCTCTTTCCAGCAGCCAGAGGGGCTGCGGGCCAGCACACAAATTCCAAGACCACAGGAGGGGGTTCTGAGACAAGACCAAATCCAGAGAAAGCACACCCTGAGAAGAAGTGCAGAAGACAGTTCCCCTGTTTGGCATAGGTACAGGAGGAAGGAGAACAATTCTCACTGTGATTATGAAATCAGAAGCTGGATGTCACATGCACTGGCCACCCACATCGCATTACATAAGCAGTCTGACGAATGAATGAGACATTTTTCTCTCAAGAGAATTTTAAACCTATAGAAAAGTTGAAAAGTGTGCAAAAAATACATTCGAACCCTCTTCTAGAATTGCCAACTTAATTTTGCTGCATTTTCAACTCAATTTTGCTGCATTTTCAACTCAATTTTGCTGCATGTACCCTCCCCCAAATGTAAGCATATGTGGGTGTATATGTACTGTACATGCATAGGCATGTGTACAGGCCCTGTAAATGCACAAATGCGTGCACAGGACCTGTATATGCATAGTCACATGTATATGCATTGTATATGCATATGTGCATGTGTGTGTTCTGTATATACATATGTGCATGTACACACACATAAGTGTACTGTATTTCACTGAGCTATTTAAATGTAAGTTAAGGTCACTGTGACACTTTACCACAACATAGTTCAGCCACTACCTCCTAATAATGAGGACATTCTCTTGGTATCAGACCAATTAAACTTTAACCACAAAAGCAATATTAGAAATAAAGATAGCATTTCATAATGTTAAAAGGGAAAATTCACCCAGCAGGGGAAACTTTCTGAACTGGTATGCATGCATTAACAGACTCAAAGTTATAGTGAGCAAAAATTGAGAAGATTACAAGAAGAAATTGATCAATTTTATAATTATTTTGGCTGTTCTATGTCCTTCTCCACTAAATAATGTATCAGACAATACGGCAAATCTGTTGAGAATTTTAACAATGCAAGCAATAAACACCAGCCAAGGAATGAGGAAAGGAACTGAGTTTATCACATAATGAATCACAACACAGTGATTAGGATAAATGAACTAAATCCATGAAGGACTCTCTCACGTAACCATAATCTCACTAAACATCGTCAACAGTCACACTCCCCCAACTGTCTCAACAGTATCTCATAGAGCTTTAAAATAAAAAAGCATCCAATCAAAGTATTTCTCTTTAGTCTCTTTTCATCTAGAATAGTCTCTAGCCTTTTTTGGTTTTTCATGGTATTAACCTTTTTGAGGAATTCAGGCCAATTGCCTTGTAGAATGTTCCACATTCTGGATTTAAATGATTGTTTCTTCTGTTTAGATTCAGATTAAGTAATTTTA